TAATTTTAATATTCATAAATTAATAGCAGATATACCAAGTAAATAACGAACGATTTAAAAATCTTTTAATGAGAAGATAACAAATTTTTAGGTTATCTTCGATAAGGTCATTTTAAATAATTGAGTGTTGGATATTAAAAAAAAAAAAGTTAAAGAAAGTTCAAAGATCGTTTAAATTAAACAAAGTTCGAAGATCATTAAAATGCTAAATATACATCTGTTATATATAATACTAATATTATTATCTCAATTTCATTTCTCTTAATTCGAAATTTCTTTTAAAAGTTATATTTGTTTCGCATATGACGATAAGTTAGGAAAAAGCGCACTAAACCTGTCACTGCACACGAACCACGAGCTGTAAAATCGTAAAATTTTGAACTAATAGTGGAGAATACTGTAGACTGCACATGTTTATGGATATTCATATTTTCATCATCAAAATTACGGAAGTAAAAATCTAAATAAAGATTTGATCTAAATATTATAATGAGCATTTCATGTTCAATATTTTATATATTTTTAGATATTATGCCTGTTACAGATTTTTGTACATTTATATCTCTTATAAATACAATCTATTAGATCTATTATTAACAATTACGAAAAAATGCATTTTCTGACGAATCAATATCAATACATTCAATTACATTAATCAATTACATTAATAAACAGATTTACAGATTAGATAAGCTTTATATAAATAGATTCTTAGAAGAAACAATTACGTTTTTACATAAGTAAATGGATTCTTCTAGATCTAAGAATAGTTAGATTAGATTAGATCAGATTAGATTTTCCATATAAATAAATAAATTCTTACAAGATTATTACATAACACACCATTTCCATTTTTCATATATTCAATCCATCCTACAAACATTACAAACATTTATTCATCAATACTTCGTGAAAGAAAAATATACTCGACACTGATCACATCTTAACAGAAAAAAAATCACTATATCCAACGTAGAGAAACATTCCTCGTACCTGCGCATGCGCACCCAAGATTCGTCTCTCGTGTCACTCACAGTTTCTAATCTTAACTTTCCAATTAGTAAAGATTAAAATTAACAAAGCTTCAGGTCGAGCCAGGTATGCCTTAAACGAGGCAACATTTGAAGAACAGATACAGAAGAATAGATTGGATATTTGTAAAGTTACCTTCGTTCCAAACGCTGTTTCATTTCGAAAACGGTGAACACCGTTATAACCTTAAATACCAGGTACCAAAATAGGGCGACGTGGCACGACGAGGAGAAGAAAAGGCACTCGTTACTCGTCCAGGACAAAAAGACAGAAGTTTCGTATAGGTGGACGATCCTGTCCCGAAGCGACACCCGCTGAGCTACCAGGAAGGACGATTATTGTTAATTAAGGTGGGCGTGTCGGGCAGGTCACACGCCGGTTTCACGGCCCTTAACGAAGGGACAGGTCAGCTCGTTTTATGAATTCTAATGCCGGAGGCCGGCCGGCCCGCTTCACGAAAATTTTCACCGACCGATTTGCATTTCATCTTGCCTTCGTCGACAGGTCGAGGAGAATTTTACACTCTTCACCCGCTGCTTCGACTCTCGTCGCCTCTTAATGTAATTAGTACCCCTATTCACCGCCACGTTGGATTATCCGCCTTTAACGAGGCTGTTTGATAACCAATCGAGCGGCCATTGTTCGCCCAACGTTTTTCTCGAGTTAACGATTCCCGGGAAAGTATGAGTTTTTCGATGGAAATTTCGAAGATCGAACTCGTAGCTCGCAATTGTGTAAACTGCTTCCCTTGGAATTGTTCGTTTTGGATTATTTTGAAGATTCTGTTTTTATTTTTTTTTTAAATAAAAATTTACTAATTCGCTAATTACTTCATCACGCGAAAGTATACAGGATATTTTATTTTAATTCAGTTTAAAAATTTTATTGAAAGATATATTTCGAGGAAAAGTAGGATCTAGAATCTTTTTAAATATTATATTTCTCTAAATCTATTCTATAATTTTTGTTTGTTGTATTATTTCGGTAAAAATTAATTTCCAAGATATTTTGTTATTTAAATCAAAGTAGGATAATGTATTTGTTTAATTAATAATCTTACTTTAAGTCAAAATGTTAAATCAAGGAAAAAACGAATCATTTGACGTTTATCACTTTTCAACAATCCTTTTCAACATTAATGCAAGATATGATTAAATCTGTTGAATTCGCTTTTTCGAGGAATACATATGTCACCAACCGAGCTGTGACGAATCAGAAGACATTAACGATATTATCATCGCGGTATAATCGAGAACGAGAAAAAGTGATTGAACGTTAGAAAAGATCATGAAGGGGTGTAATTAGACCGAGCTTTGTTCTTTCTTACCGCAACGAATGCCTCGTTTCCGGTGCCATTGTAGTTCCATTGAGGAGCTCTACGATCGAAACGAGAATCTTCCATCAATTCCTTCGAATCTCTGTTTTTCTTGGATCCCGATTCGAATTATTGGCCGGAAAATTAGACCTTTGATGTCGTCACGCCTACATCAGCCGCAAAAAAATTTAGTTTCTTGAGGAAATATAAATTCTCCGTTCCCCTATTCAACGTTTTCTATCCGCCAATCAGTTGTCTAAAACAGTGATTCTCAATTCTTCCTCACTTGCACGCCAATATTTATTTGTACTCGCGAAAACACACTTTTGACTGGCACATTCATATCTTTGGAAAATTGATATCATATCTTGATAAATATTTTTTTAATCGACATTCTTGTATACTAATTTTTGTGTTTTGACTTCGAGTAAATTATTTCAAAACAGAGCAATACCACAATAGAGAGTGTCTTAAAATCAAGTAAATCGTATAATTAATAAGTTAAATTAGATTAGATTAGATTTGTCTAAACATCACGTGAAATAATATAAATATTATTTCAGATTATATTTACCTTCGTTGGATAGTTTAACTTTCGTATAAAGGAATCCATATAGATAAATTGAGAATCATCGATCCGAAAGGAAACATTATTTTTTCAACTGTAATATCAAAAAAAAAAAAAAAAAAAAAAAGAAGAAGAAGCCTTACCACTAATCAATCAATCATATAATTTTCCACTCGTAATCTCAGGAAATCGAGGCAAGTTGCACGATAAGTTACTGGAAACTTTGAAATGGCCTGTATAGTCGTTCGACTATAATCACTCGATAAACAAATAAACCAATCGAGCATTGATCCTCGTAAAATGTTTATCACGCCAATCTCGTATTCTCGTACCCGTTGTTAGTTACAACAACAATCCTCGATACGTCTTTGTCTTCCCTGCCTTCCCGGGGGTGATCCTGCAAAGAATAAAGATGGAGGGGGAAAGAAAAGAAAAGAAAAAAAAAAAATATCTCAAAGGAAACAAGCGAGAAGAAACGAGGGCGAACAAGGCCACGTTTATCATCCTCCCTTCGACCACCCTCCCTTCGGATCCTCATCCCTTCCCCATCCCCCTTCACTACTCCATCATGCTTTACTACCGTTGCATCCGGATTGAATTTAAAATATTCCTTCGGCGGACGAACTCTTTCGCGAATTGCCCTATCGTAAAAGGGTGCCCTTCCTCCTCCTCCTCCTCCCTCCTCTCCCTCTCTTCACTCTCGCCACGGATCGTTTTCGCTACGAACTGCTGTTTCATTGGAATCGCGAGGATGGGTGGTGGGTGGATATTATGAAATCGTTGCGCGTCGTCTTAAGGGCCAATAAAATTGCACGGAACCCCGGCCACGCCGGTGAAATTAATATCAGCCAGGGCACAGTTCCATTGAGGGGAGGGGAGGGGGGATGTAATGCGGCGGT